ACGAGGAGTAGCGTGCAACAGATCCTGATGACTTGGCTGCGAGGTACTAGGCTAAGCGACTTCTGGTGATGAACCCCTATAATTCAAGAGATGCTCAGGCGGAACAAATGCCGGTCATTTAGGCCAGGCTAACCCCACCTGTTTTAACACCACCACCTGCTACGTCGAGGTGAAAAGCAAGCAGTTCAAAATATCGACTTGCATGGTCGTCACGAACTCGTCTCACTAGAACGAATGAAATCAGCGCAAATTGAAAAGAGATGCAGATAGTGTTTCACATGTGCGTTTATCTGTGACTCCACCCTCCAAGGCAGTGCTCCTTGAAACACGCCAAGTCACAAGGACACGCAGTGGACGGATCATCAAGGCACCCCGTCGTATGTATTTGTGAACAATGTGAATGGTGCTATGAACGTTCGCTAACTCACTAGGAGGGAAAGTGGTGGAAGTGGTAGCGGTTATTGAAGAAAGGAAGAAAGGCACCTAATTTCTGTCTGCCATAAATGGCGACACGGCGCAGTACCTGGGATGTGGATGGTGGTGGTAGTGGTTAGAAGAGGGAGAAGGCGCCTAATTTCTGCAGCCGGTTGGGAGCAGGGCGCAGCAACTCTGGGAAGAGATGTGGCGGCCCCACAGTTGCACAGCAGCAGCTACACACCCTCTCCCTTCAGTGAAATGTTGTCGCCTTGAGCGTGAAAAAGGGAAGTGGTGCGGGGGTGCGCGACCGAGCCGTAGTGGCCGCACAGTCGTTGAAATAAAGTTAATTGTTTGTCCTTCAGGGACTCGCTCCTCTGTGCCGATTTTCAGCCGCGCTCGCGTCCCGCACAACAGTAGCAATGTATGTAACTTTTTTCCGCTCATTTTTGTGCCAAGTACTAAGAAATACCTTATAACAGAGTCATTACTTTCGGTATCTTGACATCCTGAAGTAAAGGTGCTGGTGGGAGGGAAACCGTATGGTTTGTTACAAATAGCACGAAGAGCCTTTTTTTTATTTTTTGCTGAACATACAGCCTCTTCATTTTAGTTTAGGAAGTTTTTTCCCGGACTAGGCAACAGTAACTTAAATGGATAAAAAAAGAAGTGAATTGTGTATTAGGCGTCTCAACCAACTAGGAACGTAGTAGTGTGAATGAAGGATTCCTGCTATTCGAGAAAGTATACTTTTGCCGACTTTCATTTCGAAAGTAGGCAAAGAGCTAAATATCGATATCTCTATCACCAAGGTTTTTATGTTGGCTTGTTGGTTTGCCATCAAAGTGGGTATAATGTTGTGCATGACGGACAAAAGGAGAGGCGACACAAAGTGCATAATTTCGAAAAAAATTATTCAGGAGCAAAGTGTGGGCCTGTTGGTTTGCCATCAAAGTGGGTATAACGTTGCGCATGATGGACAAAAGGAGAGGCGACACAAAGTGCACAATTTCGAAAAAAATTATTCAGGAGCAAAGTGATCTTTTCTGCACTTAGTGTCATAAGGAGCACCATCAAACACGTGCACAACCACTCGAGAATCCCACCATAAAAAAGTTGCGCAGTTGGCCTTTGTCGCCTATTAAATATTCGTCCTGTCGAATTATTGGAAACTTGAAATATTGTAGCTATTTAGGAGTCAAATCTAATTGTTTGATTAGATATTATTCGATTCGAAACTCAAATAGTCACACACGTGCAAGCACATGGCTTGCACGTGACGTCACAATTGCTGCGGTCCTATGGATGCTTTTTTACGGAGAGAAGGATTTTCTCCTGTCTAGGCTGTTGCGCGAGTGTACAAAAGCCGACGTCATAGCCCCGGCAGTGCATATTTTTTTAGGGGGGGGGGGGGGGCACGCGCATTAACATTAGCCCAGAGAGGACTATGGCGGCGCCCAGGGAGCTCAGAGCGAAAATGTCTATAACGGTGGCCATATTCATGAACAGCGGCATAGACGAGCCGAACGCACCAGCCGTACGACTACAGTGTTCAGTACGACGGAGCCACATTGGCACGGTTACTTTTCTTTTTTGTGAGCACATCATGCAATTGTCACAAGGCAGCCGTTAAATGCGGCATGCTATTCAGAAGGCGGTTGTGCGACGGAGTGGGTCCTCTGCTGACCTGGAGCTTGCGGGTTCAATTTCGGCCACGGCAATCACATTTCGATGGACCGTGTAGTGTGCAAACCACGGTAAAGAACACTAGATGGGCGAAATTTTTGAAGCCTGCCACTACGCAGCGCTTCTCAATCATATCGTGATGTTGTGATGTAAAGACGTCATCACTACACGCCCTATGTAACTCTGTACAATAAGGTAGAGAGCTGGGCTAGTTGGTGACTGATCGTTATACCGTACGGCTAAGTAGCGCACTTTTTGTCGGGACACGACACTCGTAACTACATTTATTTTCCAAAAAATACTTCATATATATGTACACAAGCCCCCATCCCCCCCACCTTGAGCAACACAGAAATGAAATAACTGTCAATTATATCTTATCCAATATTAAACTTTGCACCCCTAATAATAAAATAATCGTGCCAAGTATAGAAATTAGCTGAACAGTCCATGCATTCTTATTGAGGAAATAAATTTTTGGGCGTACTCAATCGATAAAAAATGCAGCCTACACATTTCAAAAAAACAACAACTTAAACCTAAAAAAAAAGAAAAAAAGTGCCGCCATATCCACGAAGTGAATGATGATGAGTGGGCGAAGCTCCGGAGGTAAACCTGGTAAACCATGAATCCTCTGTACATTTTGCCCACTCGATTTTATTACATCGCTCCCCCTAGCGTACGTTGCCGCACTAAATCGAACGATTGCCTTCAACCAATCACACGCGCCATATGTGACATCATTCCTATTTTATAAGATCTCGCGTCTTTCATCAACTACAAGTACCGCTTTCTAGTTTATAACATCTTGCATCTTTTCATCATCAGCTACAAGTACCACCATCTAGTAAACACTACAAGAACTAAACAAGAGGTGGCTACATACAGGAGACGGTACCGCCATCTAGTGAACACTGCAAGAACTAAACTAGAGGTGGCTACATACAGGGGACGGTACCGCCATCTAGTGAACACTGCAAGAACTAAACTAGAGGTGGCTACATACAGGGGACGCACAGCCCACGCCCTAAGGAGCTTCGCCCCTAAAACACCAGGCCTGCGCAGAATGCACAGCACTGCCACAGCGAAAGCTGGAAGAGCGGCCTTTCAGAGCCTTTTTACACTTTTCGGGTAGCTGCTGCAAGCACATCTGCAGAGTACCCTCTACGCCATAAATCATTGGGTAGTATAGGCAGGCGCTCATTATGCCACACTTTATTAACCTTCGCAGAAGCGTGGTACCCGCTGCACACTTGCAAGAGACGTTGTGCAATCTTTTTGTGCTCGTAACATTGTGCCGATTTTAAAGCGACGTAACCTTTCTCATTCGTGCTTGGCATAGCAGTAATTTTAGACACACGAAAGGTATTTGATGCTATTAGTCCTTCCATTTTACTGGAAAAAAATGCATTCCTATGAGATAAAAGGTAACTCACTTAATTTTTTTTTCTAGTTATTTATCGGCACGCAAACAAAAGGTAGTCATTGGTGACATCAAGTCATCTTACGATTATCTTATCATCCTACGGTTATATTAAATGCGGGGTGCCACAGGATTCAGTTTTGTGCCTTATATTGTTCTCTCTTTATATCAATGATGTCCCGCGATCCCTACAGAGATCCAGGGCATTGATGTACGGACGACACTGGTTTAGTTTTCACAGGACACTCCTTAGCAGATCTACAAAATGACACGATGACCGATTTATCAAGCATTTCGGAATGGTTTGCCAGGAATCGGCTGACTGTTAACTGTACTAAAACAAAGTACATGGTGTTTCACTCTCATAGAAAACACGTCGACGCTGAATTTTTTAACATAACAATAAACAACGCTCCTATTCAACAAGTTCCTTATTTTAAATATTTAGACGTCACTTTTCAAAAGCATCTACACTGGCATGAGCAAGTACAGAGTGTGTGTGCAAAGGTAGCTTATTGCTGCTATTCTCTAATAAAAGCTCACCAATATTTTCCACAATCTATACTTCGCACAATCTATTTTTCATTGTGTCATTGTTACATAGGTTACTGTCTGGAATCATGGGGTGTGACATACAACAGTTATCTAAAAACTCTTGAACAACTTCAAAAGCGTAGACTGAAAATCATAAGCCAAGGTGAATCAGTATGCAATATTTTTCAATCACAACGCATTCTCTCATGTCATGTCTCGACGATTCTCAGTGTTGTCACACACAACACACTAAACAGTTCTGTTCTATCTCTGTATATGTGGGTCTACAGTTTATACGTCTTACTGCCCTTCCATATGTAAATAACATGTGCACTAACATGCTCTACATCTTTGATCATCTCAAAATGATCTCGTCGGTAAAAGATAAATGCAGCGTTCCAATTGACGTCGCCAAACACTGATCTGGATGAGCGCGAGGAACGAAATGCATGATGCGTCACGCTGTTGACGCAACCGTATTTCGTGGAGATAACCGAGAAACAATCCCTAGCACAATCGCACTGCAAAAACGTGCGTCAGCGACTCAAGCGCGGCCGTACAAGCGATTCGTTCATGGTTGCAAGCGCTTGACTCGAGAATACAAAGTAAATTGGAAAGACCGCACAATCCTTGGCTGAAAGGGTAAATGTGTCACGCAAGCGTGTGAATCCCACGACGCAAAAACAGATGTTTTCGTCGTCTTCCTGGGCAGATATGCATTTTTAAGTGCAGCATCTCCATCACGTCGCACAACCATGGCTTGCTCATTGCGCGCAGTCTGATACGATCTCAGCATTGGCACAACGCCCGCAGCGCGCAGGCCGCGTGAACAGCTGAGCGCGAGCTACTAGAACTCGTTTAAGAAACACATAAAAAAAGGGGCCACGACACTGCATGCAGAGCATTTAACCGTGCGTCAAATGCGTGAAATTGTAAACCTTACCACCACTTTAGGACTCGTCCAGTAGTCGGAGAGCTCGTCATCGATGTCATCGGTGGCCATCATCGCGCGCTGACAGGCGGATCACGAGTTGTGTTGCAGTGCAAGCACCTGCAGCGCCGGAGAGCCGAGCATCATCTGATGATAGCCCAACAACCTGGCTTCGCTCCAGGGGCTTTCATTTCAGCAGCCCCATGACAACGTTTTGCAGCTTATTGCGAAGTGCGCGCTACCAATGTCACTTCGATTGAAGCTGCACAACATGCTACTTCTTTTCGCTCAAGACAGATGGCAGCACTTGTAAAATCAGTTTCTATTTTCCACTCAGTTTTTATCGAGAGGCAACGCTGCAGGCAACGCCTTGCAAGAAACATAAATAGAGAGGTAGAAACAACTTCATTAAAAGACACGTACAGGGTCTGGTGGTACCGGTGGTTTGAAGGTTGGTCCTAGTATAGTGCCTAGAATACACTTACTAGGCACTGTAGTCCTAGGGTGGTCACAGAACACCTACCAGCTGGGGTGGTGGCCTGTAGCTTCCCTCGACCGTTCCGGCCCAGTCAATCGCTTCTGCCTGAATGAGTGGACGATAGAAGTGACTCCCACTCCTCTGAAAACTGGCACTATTGTCTTTGGTGGTGGGTTCCCCTCGCATTCCTAAAGACTGCGATTTTGGGTCGCCTTCAGGCAACTGAATGTGTGTGGTTATAACTTTTATATAGCTGAGGGGGGCTCGGAAAAGAATTTGTTTGGTTCTGGCTCCAGATCGTAGCCTGTCTCTTGTGAGGTCTGTATGCAGGGCTGCGTAAGCTTTGCGGTTCCCTCTGTAATAAGCTGCAATTTCGTTATATGTATTCATCCCTTCCTGTGGAAGTCCGGGGTTGAGGGGACCACAATCCCAGTTGATTAAGCCTCGGGCTACACGGTGATCCGTCTATAGGTCGTTCCTTGCGGTCAAGAGCTAGCATATCGAGACTCAACAAATTGTTGATACGCGTGAGCGACCCCGATGAACTGGTGTCAAAAAGTGTGTCAAAAAGATATGGTCAAAAAGACTCTAAAATGTTCAGGATGCGGAGTAGGTTGGAAAATAAAGGCTAGTGCATGCGGATGTGAATGCAGAGGGAGCCGACGCCAAGTCTAGACAATGTGAGGTCGAGAAAAAAAAATTGAGGAAATGATATGATTACCTAGTGTGAACTGATGAAGTGTATCGCCGATCTGCAAAATGCGTAAGCGACGGAGCGAGAAACAACGAAGGCTTTGAGAGAAAGGCTTAGGTCAGCAGAGGAGGCACTTGCGAAGGTAGGCGAAATGAACGAGGAGCAGCGGGCGGCGAGAACGGTAGGGCACCGGCGCCCAGAGCGGTAGAAAAGGGGAAACAGAAAAGACAGGTTCAATGGTCACAAGCTACCACGAAGTAGTCGTGCAAGTAGTTTCCCGCCATATATGTGTCGCGGTGAGTTTCCCAGGCATGTTTTTTTTTCTTTTTTTTTGCACGCATTCTTGCCTTTCGCCTTTTACGAAAAGACTTTCATGTCTGCTTGGTGTTCTGGTGCAGCGTTTGCACAGCGCGCACATGCATTGTGTACTGTTGTGTGCTGTTTTTCAAATCGCGAGCTGAAAAGTCTGCCGGCGTGTCATTTTGCCAATTCGCTACTAATGAGCAACTATACGCGAAGTGGCAGAAAAGCATTTCCCGGGAAAATCTCATGAATAATAACAGTGAAATCTCCCTCCTGTTTGCAGCAAGCGTTGCTGCAAACAATTCTGCAAACAAGCTCAGCAAGTGAGTGACTATATGTCAACAGACACAAAAAAAGTTACTCCCGGCACTGTGTCAACAGTATTTCAAGGATACGGTATTTCAAGGAAGTCGTACCTTGTGTCAACATCTCAAATTGTCAACAGCTTGGAACTCCGCTCATTCAAGCAACCCGACCAAAATAAAGGCAGAGCCAGAAGATCCCGTGCATGCCGGTTTGGAAAAAGAAACCGAACAGAAATTCAGTAAAAGCGTGCAAACAAACAACGCACAGCGAGCCCGGCGACACATTTCAGTGACCTTTTCTTGGAAAACAAAAGTTAGTTTTCTGCTATTTCTTCTGCCGGTTGGTGAAGGGTTATGTGGCCGAGCCCCCTGAACGCTACGCCCGAACGTACATGCGCGCAAAATGGAATATTCATCATTTTGCCCTTTTTTTCAGGTTACAGAAATAAAAAAAAGGCAGATCCCCCGTACAATGGGAATCGATTATATGCGAAGCACGTATGAGAAAGGTTGATATGTCACTTTAAAATCAGCCCAAAAATACGAGGTGGGGGTAAATGATTCCGTACATGACTTCGCTGTCATGATTGTCATGTTTGGATGATTCGTTTACCTTCGTCATCTATTCACGTCACGCGATACCAAATTAAGTATATGTGGAGCTAACAAAACGACCACGAGCACGCTATGAGCTTGCTATGTTGTCATGTTCTTACATGACACACGTGTCAGGATTATCATGTTTGCACCAGTCACATGCTTTCGTCATCCACTGACGTGACGAAAGACCAAATTTGGTATATGTGGAGCTACCAAAACGGCCGCGAGCGCATCATGAAGGGCCCAATATACTTCAGGGTAGCGTTGACGCGTGCTCACACTGGGCACAGCAACGCTACGTTAGCAAACGCGAGTGCTTTATAGTCTGACGCCAGGCGCGACCAGCGTCCGTCGGCGCGGCCCGACGGCAACCGGTGCGAAACGGCACATGCTGCATTTCACTCCGATCACCGATGCGTTACCCAGACAACACTGCGTCTCCCACTTTTCGTTATGGAGGGACGCTGGACGTGCTGAAACGCGCATGCGTCAAAGCAACGCAGTGCGGCGCGCGCCTGCGAGTATACGGCAGGACCGGCGCCTGGCGTGGCAACGCCGGCGTGACGCGACGAAATGAACATTGATGAGCCCGCGCACCGCGTTACGTCAAAATGTATTGGCGCCTTGACTGTGGGATATAGTCATGTTCTCACATGACACGCGTCTCATGATTATCATGTTTGCACCAATCACATACTTTCGTCATCCATTGGCGTCACGTAATACCGAATTTAGCATATGTGAAGCTGGCGAAAGGGCTGCGAGCGCATCATCAGTGTGGCATGTAGTCATGTTGTTACATGACACGCATGTCGTGATTATCATGTTTGGATGTGTCATTTACTTATGTCGTCCGTTCACGTCGCGTAATACGAAGTTTGGTACATGTGAAGCTAGCGAAACATCTGCGAGCGCATCATAAGCGTAGCATGTAGTCATGTTCTTACATGACACGCATCTCATGATTATCATGTTTGCATCAGTATCATACCTTCGTCTTCCATCAACGTCCCGTAATACCAAATTTGGTATAAGTGAAGCTAGCGAAACGGCCGCCAGCGCATCATGGCTGTGGCATGTAGTCATGTTGTTACATGACGCGCATGTCATGATCTTTATGTTAGGGTCTGTCGCTTGCGTTTGCCATGCAGTCATGTCATACCATACCAGTTTCGTAACATGTCATGTCAACGAAACCACCGCGTGCGAGAGCAGCAAGAGCATAAAATATAAAACATGACAATATTGGCATGCATATCATGATTTTCATTTTATGATTAATCACTTATGCTCATCATACAGTCATGTTATGACATAATAATTTTGGTATTGATATCTTTATCGAAACGGCCAGGAGAGCGAAAAGTCCTAGGTGGCTAGATAGATAGATAGATAGATAGATAGATAGATAGATAGATAGATAGATAGATAGATAGATAGATAGATAGATAGATAGATAGATAGATAGATAGATAGATAGATAGATAGATAGATAGATAGATAGATACGCTCAAAGCCGTCGAAGTTCGCTAAGAAATGCTTCGCATTTAAACAATGCCGCCACCTCCCCGAAGAGAATCGTGAGGAAATGCGAATGCATAGGAGACGCGGAATGGGAGGCTGCGTCTGTATACGGCGGCGGGTGTAAAACTAAATCTGTGTTTTTAGAGTTTTTTCGTCACGTGTTCACGAGCTGTTGCTCACATCGGTTTCGAGAAGTCATCAGGATTTTACTCATACCATATTCGACCACAGTAAGTCATTTTTTTTTTTTTTTTGAAAAATTAGGAACCCCAGTTTTTCTGCGGAGCGGTGCCCTCTTGAATTCTACCGAGTGGCTCGAGGAGGAAGGAGGAAAAAACCTTTATTGATTCTGGCTGTGCCAGATAGCCCTTATCCCCACCGGGCTGGTTGACATCCCTAGTCCGGGACGTCATTAGTCGAGGCCGCCACCCGAGCCCGCTGCACTAGAGTTCGCTGTTCCTCTAGTGTGGAGCTATTGAGTAGGGTCGTCTCCCAGTCCTCTTTGGTGGGGTTGGGAAAGGGGGTTAATTTTGGGTTTATTTGGCAGGCCCAGACCATATGGTAAGTGTTGGCCACTTCCCCACAGTACTGGCACTGCCCACTTATTTTAGGGTCATAATATTTTAGTATGGCTGGACAGAGCAGCGTATTTGTCTGTAGGCGCCGCAGGATGCGCTCCTCCGTTTTCGAGAGTCCCTTCGCTGGTGCGGGATACAAGCGGCGTTGCTCAATGTAGTATTCTTTGATTTCTCGAAACCGTGTTAAAGGTGTGGGACGTTCAGGTCTATCAGGGAAACGGGAAGTTTCCCGGGAAGTAAGCACGCGGGCCGCTGCATGTGCAGCCTCGTTAACCTGTAGACCCTGATGTCCCGGATTTCATATAAGACGTTTTGGGGTAGGATCGCGGTTCCTGATGCTGAATTTTAAAAGTCTACTAGCCAATGGAGAGATTTCTCCTGCAAGATAGCTCTCGCAGGCTCTTCGAGAGTCTGTAACTATTTATTTTGAGTTTGGATGGGATACTGCCAGTGCAATGGCCACCTCCTCCGCCTTACTTGAGCTTGTGGCTTTGAAAGTGAGGCCGTCCACCTGCGTTCCTTGATGTATTACCGCCGCCGTGTAGTATCCCCTAGGTGACGGCCCGGCCACATCGACGTAATAGACCCCATTACGGGAGCCAAGCCGTTGTTCAAGTGCCTCAGCACGCGCTTGCCTTCCACCCTGGTGCGCCTCCCTGGTCATATTGCGGGGAAGCGGGGACACCCAGAGTTTTGTTCTCCAAAGTTCAGTAATACGCTCCGCGTTTTCGATTTCGCATTCGTGCTGGATCAAGAGGCGGTCC